CCCTCTGGCTTAAACATTAAGAATAGTTCCCATTTTCCTGTTCAAATCTGACTGGAACAATAGGGTAAGGCACCATGGGAGTATAAGAGAGAGGTACGTTGTCTGTTCTGAGTGGTGGGGCTGGGGTGGGAAGAGAAAGGGAAGGAAGGCTCTTTGGAATCAGTGATTCCACAGGTGAGTAATGAAGGTGATTAGAAGGAGCTGCTACAGAGTAATAGCAGGAGCAAAGGCACTAAATAAGAAAGTGTCGATGTTTCTGGAGTGTGGTATGAGCCAGGAAAAGGAGACTGGGGAAGTAGACAGAGACCAAGCCATACAGGATCTTGGATACTGTATTAACTAGACCTCTTCTGTTCCAGTGACATAATCCAAATCAAGATAGCTTGTTATAAGCACAGGGGCATAGCTAAAGCAAAATAGAAGAGAAAGTTGCTGTGAATGAAATGGTCAAGAAATTAAGAGCAGGATGTTAGATAGATTGTCCACATGAAACCCACAGTTCCTGAGAATGAGAGCAATCCTGGGTGGAAAGGAAGACAGCACTTCCCCTTGCCAGAATCATCAGTGACCAGAGAGATGTGAGCTGAAGATGGATACATTACAGAGATGAGGAGGTATCAGAGAATCAGAGGATGGAGAAAGGATTTGAATATAAAAGTGGAGAAGAAATATTCTGGGGAAATATCAGGATAAGGAGAGGTGAGTTTAGCTGTTTGTGAATTTCTGAATAGAATTCTTAAGTCAAATTCAGAAGCAGGCAGTGTGGACACAATCTGTGAAGTCTATGGGTCTGTGACAGCTGCCTTTAGGCAGAATAGGTAAATACAATCATTTTTGGGTTGGGGGGATCATCTCAGATTCAGTTAAGAATTGGACCCTATGAAAGACAGCAGTAACCCCTTTGTTCTAAAGCCAATTAGAGGGAGAAAAGGACAGAGGGCTAGTCTGGTTAATTGGCTGTCATCTTGACCTCACTAGATTCTCAGGAGCTGAGAAGCCTTACTAATGAGCCTGAGGAAAAGGTTACCTTCTGGGCCTACTAATGAAGAGCTTTCCAGGAGTCCTACAGTAATTGGGTGGGGGAACATTTAGTTTGTTCTGCTAGCAAAAGAGACCCATGGCTAGGACCATGAGCTGGTTCCTTGAATCAGAGTTCTCATGCTGTGGGTGCCTTTGATAAGATAATGACAGCATCTCCTTGGCATGGTATATGAGCTCTCCATATTTGGCCACTTGGTGCCTCATTTCTCACCACTTTGAGCTTTCTGCTCTAATGAAAAGAAAATGTTCTGGTCATTCTGACGTATGCCAACATTGTTTTTTGCCCCTATCTATGTTCATGCTATTTCTCCTGCCTGGTGTGCTCACATGCACGTGTTCACACATACACTCCTGATCATATGTCTTTATCTACCTGATCTCAGCTCAGGAATCAGCTTCTCCAAGAAGACTTCCCTGACCTCCAGGCTTAAGGAGGTACATCCTCTCTACCCTGATAATCCCCTTGCTTCCTACCATTCAGAATTTATCACTATCATATTGTCAATATATCTCTCTCTCCCACTAGACTAGGAGCTCTCCAAGGGTAGAAACCATGTGATTCACCTCAGTGTCCCCAGTGCCCTGCAAAGAGTCTTCCATGCTTGTTAAACTGAGCTCTCATGACCCTCATGGTCCACATCCCCTCAACCACACCCTCCTGCTCCTTCCCACCTCCTCCGTTCATCTCTTCATCAGCCATCATTCACTCACCAAGCAGCTACTCCTCTGGCTAGTGCTGGTGCTTAAGATGAATGCCGTGGCCCCTGCTCAGGTATCTCCTTGAGGTCAAATGGACTTGTACCATGCAGGTTAACACAATGTTAGACAGAGGGAAGCACAGAAGAGAATGAAAAGGCCATCTCTAAGCTGAGTCTGAAGAATGAGAAGTTATTTAGGTAAAGAATTTTGGTTAGTTTTGGCCTTAAAGTATCCCATCTCCACTAACTTCTGGAAGCCTCCTCCCCATCTCCCCAGCCACTCTCTCCCTCCACCACATTCCTGCATAGCCTCTACTTTGCTCTACCTGGGTTAGAAATGTTATAATATATTCTGTCACTGATCCAACTGAGAGTGACACAAGGGGGCATAAGGCATAAGAGCCCCGGTTCATGCCCCATCTCTGAACCTCGCTTTCCCTGTCTGTGAGTCATGAGTGATGATCCTTGCCTTGTCTCACCCCTCAAACGTTGCTTCAGAATTGTGTTTGTGAACTGTTAAAGACTATGTACATCTGAGAGACTGGTATTCTGATTAGTGTGTCTTTTCTCCACAATTAGGTTTGGTCTCCCTTTGTCCCTAGCATATGACCTGGCATGAAATCAGTATTCAGTAAAGACCTGGTTTATTGATTGAACCTGAATGATGAAGGAAAAGAGGGATTCCCTAAAGGTCCTGGGAGCAAGGGAGCTGAGACTAAAGTGGACTGGTAAAGGGAATTGCTAGGCATTCCACATGCCAATCCTTTCACACATTTTTATGCATTTAATTCTCACTACCACCCAATGAGGTGGACCACCCCATTCCACAGATGAGGAAACAGGATGAGAGATTTGCCCGTGGTCACACAGCTAGGAGGTGGCAGAGACTATATTCAAATCCAGGCTGTATGACTCCTGGACTTCTTCCCAGTGCCCACGAGTACAGCATGATAAATATTCCCCTCAGTGCCAATTCCTCAGACTGAATTTGTGTTTGTGGCCTTGCCCTGTGTTCTCATCTTCATCGAAACTGGTGTTAAAACCTTACTTCTTTACTTGTTTGCATCTTTCCTTGGCAAGCCACACATGCCTCTCCACCTCCCCAAACACTGTTCACTTGTGAGAAGCTAGTCAATGGCCAGAGAGTCAATTTTTATGAAATTCATTAGGGAAAAGTTGCATGCTGGAGGGTCTCTGAAGCCTACTGGGTTTTTATGGCCTGAGGATAATGAGCAAGCAGTGGTCTCCTTCATGACATGTCTGCAATTAGTGCACACTTCTGCAGCAGCTTGCCTTTCTCAGGTCTGGAAATGGGCCACAGGAGAGACTGTCAACCAGAGGTGGGCTGGAAGGAACTGTAAGTGCCTTCAAGCTGGGATGGCCAAGGGAAGAGGAGCCCTCTTTGTACCTGGGGGTTTCAGCCCTCTCTGTGAACAGTGGGAAAATAGGGAGAAGGAAGGAGGAGAAAAGAGACCCCGTCCTTTGTGGAAGAAGATGATAAAAGAGGGAGGAAGGGATGAAGAGGAGGTGAGAGGAACAAGATGAAAGAAGAAGAGAAAGAAACTGTCATTGTAACAGGTAACTTTTGGCCAGCAATGTATCCATTGTTTCACTGAATCCTCCCAACCATTCTCAGCAGGAAGACATAGTCCTTAATTTCTATTTGACAAACCTCAGAGAGGTTAAGTGACCTGCCCCGATTCAGACACTGTGGTAGTCAGATAAAAGCAAAGGAGGCCAAAGAGACTAAAGGAAAAAAAAAAATTTGGTCTGGAAGAAAAAGGAAAGTGAAAAAAAAGGAAGAAATAGGAAGCAAAGTATATGTGGACTTTGGAGCCAGCCAAACTCAGATCTAAACCCAGTTTCCATTAATACAGCCACGTGACCTTGCGTTAGTTATGTAATCTCTTGGAGGCTTCCTTTTTCATTTGTAAACTGGAGATGATTATATTTACCCAACAGGCTGTTGTGATGATTAAGTAAGATGGTATTTCTAAAGTTACTAGCATAGTGTCTGACCTACAGTAGGTGCTCAATAAATATGGGATTCCAAGGAGAATGTGTGGGGAAACATAAAGGGAAAACAAGGAGCTAAATGAAAAAAAAGGGAAAAGAGAAGCTTTTGAGGATTTGGGAGGAAGTGAGAGGAAAGTGTGCAGACAGAAGAGGAGGGGTGGGGCAGGGACATGAGGAGAAGGTGACTTACGCTTCTAAGGGCTGCCACCAACCTGGCCAGGATTCCTCAGTTGGGAAGCAGCCACTTCTGTCTGAATCAGGAGGGCCTTTCTTGTAGCTCTTGAGACAATCAAGTTCTGTTCATTGTCTCAGAAATTCTGTGTCATTAAGGATCGCATAGTACAAAACAGATGAGAATGTCTCACACTTCAGGAGCAGTTTTTCCCGGGGTCTTTTATTGGGTATGTGTGCAGAGGGAGAGATACAGAGAATTCTGGGGAAATTCATGGAGGAGGACCCCTATTGAATGGAGATAGCCAGTGTGTCTGTGCGTGGAAAGGGCAAATGAAGCTTTGCTTTTTCAGTGTTGCTCTTGAGGTATCTCCCAGAGCCCAGACTAGAGCTGCCCAGGCTGGGGTAAGTGGGAGGCAGCGGAAAGAGGAGGGAAAGCTCTGGTCAAAAAGGCCAAACAAGCCTGGGTTTCTCATACTGGTGCCTTGATTTGTCTTGGTCAAGTCAGCTTATTTCTCTAAGCCATGGCATCTAGTTAGTGAAATGGAGAATCTGCCTGACATTCCCTCCCCAGGGGTAACATGAGGATCAAATAAGACAATGAATGTGATAAATGTATTGGAAACTGTGAAGTGCTGTGCACACATAGTAAAGTATTCACTCTTTCAGAAAACGCCTAATGTGTAAAATACACCCCTACTCCCACCATGTCAGGCACAGGTATACATGTTACATGCACTATCTTGTTTTCTTCTTGAAATAATTCTATGAACTAGGTTAAATTATCCCTACTTATAAACCAGAGAATTGATTCATAAAGAGTTTAGGTGACTTGGTGGGGGTTACACTGCTGGTCAGTGGTAGAGCCAGGATCTGTTCACCTTTAAATAAAACCAATGCAACTAATCCCTGCCCTGTACCATCTCCTTAAAGCAGAATCTTCTGCCCATAACATTAGGCCTCTTTGCTTCACTCCTGAGCATTGGCTGTATTAATCCAGAGTGTTCTGGCCAGGAACATAAAAGGGAAGGAAGACGTTAAAAATCCTTACCTGTATCTCTTTTCTCTCTTCAGGATTTGACTTCTTTGAAGCCAGTGCCAAGGAGAACATCGGAGTGAGGCAGGCCTTCGAGCGCCTGGTGGATGCCATTTGTGACAAGATGTCTGATTCCATAGACACGATCCCCTCTGTGTTTCGTGCCCCCAAGAATGCCCGTCTCTCAGACACCCCACCACTGCTGCAGCAGAACTGCTCATGTTAGGCAAGGTCCACCCTCCTGATCTCCCCTTACTGTGGCCCCACTGCCACTCTGCCTTCCTCATTACACTCTGTCCATTCCTAGCCCTGAGCAAGCTGAGTTCCTGCTGTTTTTTGCCTGCAGCAGAGATGGAAGTATGCCCTGGGTTCTCTGCAGATGGCCCCACTTACAGACACTCAGCACTAGACAAATAGCCAGGTCACAACGTGGGTGGAGATGCACTGTACAAAGGAAGGCTCCATTTTATGAAGGGGATTCACTACAAGCATGTTGTCACTTTTCTGTCTTTAATACATGATTTCCTCCCCTTATCAAAATTTGACACAACACAATTTTCAGGACCTGGCCAACTGTGTAATGTGAGGCCTACCTGCACAGCTAATCCTATTAAAGAAAACCTCCCCATGCACAACATGCTTGTTTCATACCAGGCTCCCTGTGGGGATTCCTCTCACTTCAAGTCAAGCTTTGGCTCTCAAAGCCCTATGCCTGTTACCACAGATGCCCACAGGGCCTGGGCAGTTGCTGTGGCGACAGGCCAGAGCTAGTCTCCAGAGAGTTCAGACTCTCGCAAAGGCTGAATAAGAAACACACTTAAAAGAAAGATTTTCCCTTGCAAAATGGCAAAGGTTCCTCCTGTATGAAAGAGCAAATGAGTGAGTTTAAGAAAAATGAAAAAAAAAAAAAAAGATAAAGCTAAAGAAGAGTTAAAGAAACAGGTCATGAATTTCTGATTTTGCTGCTTCCCAGCTGGTTCTTAACTGTGGAACTTCATGAAATCAGTCATTGGATTTAGACTTCCAGAATCTGAAAAATTTTGAGTTGGTAGGATCTCATATTTTACCTAGTCTGACTAGTCAATTCCAATCTTCGTATCTCTGACAAGTGGCTTTCAGGCCTCACAACCAAATCTCTTTCTTCTACGTGTACCTTCTAGGCAGGTACAAGGGCTCTATGTCCACACCGTCTTTGGGCAGCTCTCATAATCAAAAAGTTTTCCTTGCTTTAAGCTGAAATCTGCCTCCTGGAGATTCTTCCTCTTCCCACCCCAGCTGTACTAGCTCTGCCATCAGAGACCTTATAGTCTTTACCTCTTCTGCCCTTTGACACCGTCAGATGGTTTGAGAACAGAAATCATAACCCTGGGATCTCCCCTTTCTCTAAGTCAAGTAGTTCTAATTCCACTTGCCATTCTGTGTAGGATCTTGTCCCTAACCTGCCCTTTTCCTTCAACCCATCTTTCAATCAGTCCTGATTAGTCTGACTGGGAAATATGATTCAAAGCAGAATAAATGTAAGGAGGCATAACCCTGAAAAAATTGGTAAAACTGAACTGAGCGGTCTCAATCCCAAACTCATTCTCCTGGCAGTAAAATCGTAGTTTCTACAAAAGAGCAGATGTGAAACCACTCCTCATGACAGCTGCTTAATTAAACACCTAAAGAAAAACAAAAAAAACCCTCTGACATGAGAAACAAACTGAATGGATTTGCTCATGATTCTAGCTTGTTTAGATATGGCACATTTTTGTTTTTTTCTGAAATAATGACATAGAAGTAGTAACAATTTCTGAAAATCTTTCCTTCTAATCCTGACCTAAATCTCCAGCTTCCCTTGCATTAATGTGCCATCTCAAAAGTTGGTTGGGGTAGGTGAGAATCTCTCCCAAGTTTTCTCTCATTTTCAAATGCAGCCTGCTCATTGTCCTAGCAAAGTTCATTAACAACTTTGTAGGTAGGTCCAGCACTACCTACAATGACCCTCCAGAGTCAGCCCAAAGGATGTTGCTTTTGTTATTGTAGTGCAGAGAACGGAGCTTTGGACTTGGAATCAGGAGACCTAGATTGTATAACTCTGGACTCAGTTACTCCGCATCTCTGAGTCTTGATTTCCCACCTATAAAATACGGGGGGTTATCTGGATAAACCTTAAGGTCCCTTAATAACTCTTCGACTCTTTTTTCACCATCATTTCAGTTGATCTGCAAAATAAAACTGAGAGATGAGAATTATTAACCCCAATGTTATTGTAGCTAAACCAGCATCACGCTTACTCTGTACTAGGATTTGTTCCAAGCACTTTCCATGTTTGAACTCATTTATCTTCCCAACACCTTTGTGAGGTAGGCACTATAATCAACCTCATTTAAAGATGAGAAAACTAAAGTACAAAGAGGTTCTCTAGCTTGCCTAAGGTCATATAATGAGTAAATGGTAGAGCCTGGGGGTCAAGCCCAGGCAGCAGGCTCCAAGGTCTGCTCTTCACCACATTCTATACTACATTTCCTATAAACTGTGATCCCAAGAGGTAAGAGACTTGGCCAAGATCACACAGCTAGCGGATGTTAGAACCACATTAGGATTCAGTCCCAAGGCCATTGAACTTTAAATCCACTGGAGAAAAGATTTATGCCTCTAATCTGTTAAAAAAAAATTGCTCAGCTATTCAGATTAATCTGAGGTGATGTGATATGGAAAGGAGTGAGTCTCTGAAGCAACCAGGTCCCACGAATCTGAGCAAAAAATGCCCTGTGTTTTTTCTCAGGCCCAGGCACCGGCTTTTCCTGTGTCTGCTCTGTCAGACAATTCTTATCCAGTTCTCAAGCAGTGCTTTGAGCAGCTACCCTGCTCCAACAATGGAGGATTTGGGAGAAGTGAATTGATTAATTTCTCTGATGACAGAAGAATGTGGTCCCTTCACAGGGACCCCTGTATGGTTCTGGATGTCCCATACAGGTCAGGAATGTTTACTGTTTTTCTGGGCAGTAACACTCATATAGGATTAGGATTTCAGACTGAGCTTCTCATGATCCCTGGATATTTAGTACATCTATCTAATAATCTTTTCCCTCCTTCTGAGTATCCAAACGAAGGTTGAAGTTTTTACTTTAAAACCTGTCAAAATTCTTTAAACTTCACTCAGGAGCCAGTTCAAGGGAGCAAACATCCTCACAGCAGATGGAATCAAGAGTTAAATGTAATAGTGGCAGACTCTTCTACTGGGCAACAACAGACCTGCTTGTTAGATGGCAATCCCCCAGCCTTGCTCTGCGACCTCATTTTTGCTGAGTGGAGGGCAGCAGCTTCCAGCCAATTGCAGTGCAATGTTCATCAATCACGGTAATAGTGCAATTAGCCACCAAGGTTCAAGCTGCACAATATGTGTTAGCGGCAGCTTGTCCTGGTTTTTACCTTGCTTAATCCAAATAAAAGAAGATTAAAAAAAAACTGTTGACCTCTAAAGAGGCAAATGTAGGCCAAAAGTGCAATACAGTATTGTAGCTATTTACAGAATCTGTTTTAAATGCATGTTTATTTGTAAATATAAAGTGATTTGTGACTTAACAATGTCTCCTCACTCTGTAGTGTTATTAACTTCTAGGAGCAGCAATGGGATACAGTATACAGAATGGTCATAGAATCATCAAATATTAGATCTGGATGGGAGCTGAGTGAGAGAAAGCCTTGTTCAGGCTCCTTGTTTTACAAAAAGGAAGGCTGAGTTCCAGGGAGGGAGAGGTAATTCTTAAGGTCACACTGAAAATATATTAGCCAGGACTAGATCTTGGATCACCTCCAGGGAGAAATTCACCTCTTCTGTATCTACTATGGGCCTGGAACTATTAAACACTGGATAAATATACATGAAAACAAATGATCTCTGCCTGCAACATACCTATAGCCTAATGGAGGTGTTGTTTCTAAAATAGTATTACCCAGATTTGGCCGGTGTTGGGATAGTATTATCCCAACATAGCCTTGGAAAAGCTAAAATGCCTGTAACTCACTGGTGTCATTTGAACCCAACTCTGACTCATTAGCTTTCAATTTTCCTCTTCAGACTGTGTTTCAGATGAAGGGTATATAGGGTGGTGGTAGTGACAGACGCCCAAGGATTCTCAGAGTTAAACAACCTCAGTTGGGACATTGGTTTCACAATTGCTTTGTGACTGCAGCCTTGTAATGTCCACAGAATGGTAGGAACATCCTCCAGACCTGACTTTCCCTCTCACATCACCTACTTCTGCCCCAAACCTCCTTGCTTGGATATCAAGTTTCCTAGAATGTCTTGAAGAATGATTATTTGAGTTTGTTTGCTACAAGTTTGGGTAAGGAGAAGATATTACAGCAGCCAGTGTCCTGGGACCTCACAGATTTCAGATTCCTCACCCTAAACCTATACATGATTACTTGCTGGACAATCAAGTAACAGCCTGTAATTGGGAATGCATAAAAGGGGCAGGCCCATGAGATACAAATACTGCTAAATGATGTTATTGAAGGCCTGGAACCCTTATGTGGAGTAGGCAAAGCTCCAAAACATATTAATTCAACAAATTAGTGTCTAGTATGAGTCAGGATATAATCAGTGGCAAAGTAGACACAGTCCTTGCATTTATGAAGCTTACTGTCTAGTTCCTTGCGGTTTAGTCCAGACATTGTAAAATAATCACCCAAATATAATTACAAAGTGCCCTGAAGGAAAGGTACATCATTCTATGAGAACACATTACTGGGAACCTGAATCACCGTTGTGGGGCTGTTTCAGGGGAATCTAGGAAGATACCACTGCCCCCAAATATCTCCACTACCAATTGGCCATTGCCTTACACTCCTCAATTAAGCTCTCACCTTTTAGTTCAAACCCTTGATGGCTGGTCAAACACAAATCCTCCAAAAAGAATAAGGGTGAGAGAAAGAATACCTGTACCTGTGTAACATTTTTAGACGGCCTGGGTCAGAATTAACTGTTGTCCTCTGACATAACAAATCACTCCAAGATTTAGTGAATTAAAACAACAAGCATTATTATTTCTTATGATTCTGTGGGTTGGCTGGGTGGTTCTTCTGGCTGAGGCAGGATGGGTACACTCACAAGTCTGGGGTCCCAGCTGAGATGACTAGGGTGATCGAGGGCTCTCTCCATGTCTTCTCATTCTCTAAGAGGCTGCCCATACTTGTTCACTAGGTGGTAGACATTTTCTCAGTAGCAAGAGAGGGCAAACCCCAGGCAGAAGCATTTTCCAAGCCTCTGTATCATGTTTGCTAAAGTCCCACTGCCCATGCAAGTCACATAGCTAAGCCCCATTTTAAAGAGTGAAGAAACAGATTCCATCTTTTGATGGGAGGAGTTATGAAATATTGTAAGCATTTTTTTCAATCTACAAAAGGAAGCAACCCTAAGTTATCTGAAACCAAGTTTGGTAAATTTCCCTGGGCCTTAAAACCTGGCTCTGAAGATATCCCCAAAGAGAAATGTCAAAATGGTTTTTAGCAGGGCAATCTCATCATTTGTTTAGTTATCCAAAGGATCTGTTTTGGAGGAATAAAGACACGTCTGGATGGAGTTTTAATGCTTGTTTAACAGTTCATTGGATACTTCTTAGCTACTCCCTGGGGGGTGAGCCTGACTTCTCATTCTAAGGGATTCACTGTAATAATGGTTGTGCTTCCCACCTGAAGTTTGTGGCCAGAGCCAGCAAAAGGATTCAGTATATATGCAAGAAAGATGGCCCAAAGAATAGCTGGGCCCTCTGCTCTAGCTATGCTCTCTTCCTTGGAGAGCTCATTTAGTCCTGTGGCTTCAGAGGCCAACTCTTTGGTAATGCAATGTATACAAGTGCCTACTAGACATCTCCATGTCTCACACTTAACATGTCCACTTTGGCATTCTTGATTCTGCTCCAAAC